TTATTAAGTTTGGTTTTCATAGCCATTTCAGAACCCTGATCTTCAACAACCTTCACGCTACCAAACACTCTATCCTCATCAATGGATTCCCCACCAAACCCATCCAACCTCATAGGGGACTCAAACAAGGTGATCCTTTGTCCCCTTTGTTGTTCATTATTGCAGCTGAGGGTTTCAGCAGAACCCTAAACAACATGATCAATTTAAGACACCTGCAACCCTATGCCATTGGTAGAAACTATCAAATTGTTTCTCTACGTTATACAAAGTCTTAGTCGTAGAAAGGTTTTGACGGAGCAAACGTCTGAACTTATAATCTGGGGGTAATAATGTGTTGCTAGATACCGCTTATTACTTATAGTATTTGCGTAGAGTCAATACTGTGGCCAATTTTATAAGTGCCTATATGGGTCACACACTTTGGACAATTTAACGAGTAGGATTATAAGAGGGGATAATATTTAATTTGTATATTGTAAAATAGTAAAAAAAAGTGTTTAATATAATATATATATATATATATATATATATATTTTGTACGCGCCACTCACATATAAATACATGTATACATAATTGATATGTACGATTATATATATGTGTGTGTAATATGTATGCAACGTGTACATATATGTATATATTACTTTATTTATATATTATATTGTGTACATTTTATTTTGGAGTGTCATTTTAATTATGAAAATAATTATTTTGACAAAAACTATGTTAAAGTATATTTTATATACTTGTTTTAAAATGTTTTGGGTATTTTATTTTAAATCATAAAAATTATTGATGTCAAATAAAATACACTTTAAACATTTGAGAGGAGAAGAATTTTAAATTCTTCCCCCTTTAATTTCGAAATGTACATGCATGATATAATGTGTGGGGACTTTTGTCTCCCACTACAATGTGTACTTTTGGAATTTAGCAAATGTAAATGTTTATTCCCTTTGATTTATAAAATGTTTTCCTTTCTCTTTTTGAGAAACACTCTCGGCAAGAGAGGTAAAGGAGGAGGATATTTTTGAGTTCTCAAAATTATCATTTTGTGTGTAGAAAATTGATATAGTATTTTCTTTAAAAATATTATTGATATATTTTCTACTATTTAATATACAAGATTTATATTATCCCTAAAATAATCTTTATATTAAATATACTATTATAATCTTTACTAGCATAAAGATTATAGTAGACTCCGGAGATTGTTCGTGTGTCAAAGTTGGAGGCCGGACGCTTGAACGGCTACGTTTGCTCCTTCAACACTTTTTGCTCGACTTCTCGTTCATACCGCTTTAACGGAGAAGGTATAACTTTCTATCTCTAGCTATAGTTTTAGTACGAGATTTTGGGCTAGTAATCACTATTGGGAGATTAAATTTTTGTATTTCCGCTGCCCTCCCAACCGTGGTTACCTTTCACTTAGGACTTCGATAGAGGGTCCAACCATGTCGGTAGCATCGGCGAACCCCCCGGTCAGTAATTTGGCAATGGCATAGCGCCATGATGTTCTCATCCAACCTAACCCTTGAGTCCTCCCTTGCTGAGGTCGAGGAAGGAAATTGCTTCCTAAATTGGCGCTGCTTTTGGCCAGGCATGGGCGACGGCGATGGCTGAGACGGTTGAGTGTGACTTGGGTCACAGCCAGAGGCCAATTGATCGTCTTGGCGAGAGTTGGACGATGGGGAAGCCGAATCGGAATCGGAAACAATCATGGTGTCGAGAAAGGGAACTGACCTGAAGCAGAAGAAAAACGGGTCGGGTAACGGCGGAATCACGAACCGATGGCAATGGAGAAGGCAAAGGGAGAAGATTGGCATCTAGCGGCGGTTTTAACATAAAGTAGGAAGGCGAAGCAGTAGGCCATGATTACCTATTAGTGGAGATCGTGCCCAAACGTCACGCGGAACCCAAGGAACGGCTCGGATCTGCGCTTGAACGCCCACGTGGACCTTGTAAACTCTCCATCCCTCAACGTGGCCCAGTCGAGGAATGAGGAGTTGGGGGGCTTGTGATGGGCCGATATCCAGCGGGCGGCCCAATTGAATCATTTAGTAGACTTCGGGTCAGGCGCACAGGAAGTACTTAGGCATGGGCCGGCCCATAATGCGAGGCCCGGTCAACTCCAATCAAGCACAGGTGGCAAAGCCAGTTGAGAGGAGAAGACGAAGCTGAATGGCGAAGACAAGGCCGGAAAAAGTGGATCGCGCCATTGATGGGATAGACTCCCTTTGATAATGTATTACCTTAACTGTCTAGAACCTATGTATAAATAGAGGAGACCCGACAGGAGAAATTTCAAGCTAAATCAAGCTAATAATACACACCTAATTCTCGAATTCTTGTTCTTCATAATTTTCTTGCGATCCGTTCTTTTAATCGGATCATTTGGGGAATTTATTGTCCATCAATAAGTACTCTGTATTAAAGCAACGAGTGTGATTACAAAAGAATAATAGGAAGAGAAAAAAAGTAGGATAACGAAGAACGGAAGAACTAACGGAAGAGTAAAGCTACTTGTACCCCAAATTTTTGTACCCCATTTGTACACTGCAGGTTTGCACCGACATTTTGTGTGGGTGTAAAATTAATTTTTATTAACGCACCAACACTTTGTGTCTGTGTAAATTTTTATTAACGTACCAACACTTATGTCTGTGTAAACCATCAAAATGTTTGTGCATAACTACGGTGTACAAATGGGGTACAAATATTGGTGTAAGTGTAGCATGGTTCCTAACGGAAACATGAGCCATGAGGTAAGGAGACATGACCTTTTTTGTGAAAGTGTAATGCTTTACTCGTTTTGAAAGCGGAACTAGGGGAGAGCATCGGTTCGGTTCGGTCGGTTTCGGCCTAAAACCGAATTAACCGGAAAAAAAATTTACTCACATTAACCGACCGAACCGAACCGAAGTTACTATATAACCGAATAAACCGAACCGACAAAAACCGAATCGGTTCGGTCGGTTTTTTCAAAACCGAATATGTCCCGTGCTAATACTTGTCCAGCACAAAAAGTAACCACTAAAATTAGATTCATGCTAACATTTTTTTTCTTAAGCTGTATGTTTTTTTTCTTCTTACCATTTTAAGCCGTATGTTTTTTTTCTTCTTACCATTTTTTTTCTTACCATAGGTACAAGAAACCACTAAAATTAGATTCATGGTAACATATTCAGCAATTTTTTTTGCTTAAGTGCTTATGATGTAAGAACACATTGAAACAAAAATCATAAAAGGAGCATGCGACCCATTTAGGAGAAAAAGATAAACAATTTAAATATGGAGCAATGAAGCACAGATTTTGGGATACATACCGGATTGGGCTAAGTCTGGTGAAATCCTTCCAATCGGAAATTGCGCGGAGAAGGTGAGGTAGATTCGTTGATGGTGAATTCGTGAGTTTACCCGTCTAGATCTTGTGGGGAAAGGGACGAATTACAGAGAAGTCGCTGTGCGGGAGAGTCGGTGAGACTCGCGAGTGACTGAGTGGAAACTGAAAAGAGAAACAAGATGGGGTTTTGGGGATGTCCTGTCATTAGTTGGACTGGGCTAGTGGGCTGTATTGGTTGGATTGGGCTAGTGAGTTGTGTTGGTTGGATTGTCTTAGTTGGATTGGGCTCAGTTTTTCGGTCGGTTTCGGTTAATACTGTCTGGAACCGAAACCGAAACCGAAACCGAAACCCGAAATAACCGACATTTTTAAATATTAATAACCGAAACCGAAACCGAAATTTCGGTCGGTCCGGTTAAGTTCAATCGGTTTATCGGTCGGTTCGGTTAAATTGCTCACCCCTAAGCGGAACCATAGAGTCACCCATAACTTCACAAATTTACAATTTGTGAAGTTAGATATTTATTTTTAAAATTATTTAAAATTATTTTATTTACTTGAAAAAGTACACAAATAACAAATTTGTGTAGTTTGTGTCCAAATTATTTGTGACTGTAGTATTATTCTTTCTAAAAATTGAAATGATATAAAGTCTTTTACTTTATCAATCCACATGGCAGCAAATCAATGGAGGGACCCCATGCCCTCTCATTTGCTTGGGGATCCGAGAAATGCCCAAAGATAAATTGATTGAAGATGAAAAAATTAAAAAAGAAAGTAAATATTCAAATTTTCTAATATGGTTATAGAAGAGGAGCAACAATGGAATAGAAGATTTTATATAAAAAATTGATTTTTTTTTTTAATTTCCACATACGTGCCACAAAAGTTATGTCATGTGTCGAGTTTTTAAAGCTTCAAACCTCCTTCAATTGATTATACTCCGTATTTTTTTAGCTCTCGTTCATTACGAGTAACTTTTAAGATCCAAATAAAATTTTTATTTAGCTTTTTCTCTTTATTCAAGACATCGATGTACACTCTCTGTCCCAAACTTGATCTTTCTACTTTTTTACTACGCCTTTACTCATCTACGGAGTATTAAGGTAAATAATACTCTCTCCGTCTTAACATAAGTTAATTATTTATTATTCACAAGATTAAACTTCATACACTTTGTTTTCTTATTTTCGTTAGCCATTTAATAAAATAATAGTATTGTCATTGCTAATTTTATAAATTTTATGATATAATTTTTATGTATGTAATTTTATTTTTTAATTATACACTATTTTTAATATAAATTGATTTGAAAATAGATTATATCGTAAACCAAAACAAACAATTTAAATTAAGACAGATGGAGGATGCCATTAACAATATTTCTTTCTTCTAAATAAATTTCAACCACACTTCTTTACTTTTCAATAATCCGTTCTTTTCTTTTGCTTCATAAAATCAAACAAGGATGACGAATTCAACATAGAGGCAGTAACACTTCGAGAATGAATGAATGAATAAATTACTCCGTAGTAAAACATCACCAATTCATTTCTAGTCTTCAAATTTTAGAATCCCCTAACATAACCAATCAAAAGATGTCTTGGGAAGTATACAAAAATGCAGTATAATCTCAACATTGCTTGAATTCGATGTTAAGATTACGCAGTTCTCCTGTGGTAGAAACAATGTTAATAGTAACGAATAATAGTACATTAGAAAGGCAATAACCGTTTAAAGTTAACCAAGAGCAGTGAGATACAAATAGCAAATTGTCAAGAACATAGGAACTACATAACCAAAGTCAAAAGTATTCAATTTCTTTCGCCATAGCTTTCTACATAAATTAATGTCTTGGAGGACCTCTCCGGCCATTGGGTCCCCAAGCTCCAGAATTATATGGATCACTATACAAACTACCCGGATAACCCACATCAAGACTCCCGCTCAACATTCCATATGGTCCAACACCTGAAAGTGGTGCAGAAAATGTGGTTACATACAACCAAATTTTGAATGCAGAAGTTGAAATCTTATTGACATTTATAAAATGAACATGATGTTTGTACCGATTCCCCGGGCTTTCCTCTCAGCAGCCATCTGCTCGGTTCGTAATGTTTCAAGTTCCCGAACCATGGAGAAAAAATCATTCTGCATTGCTTTGTTTTGCTCCATGAGCTCCTTGTTTTCTTTCTTCTCATGCTCAAGTTCTCTCCTGAATGTTTTAAAATTTGAGTATCAAAAAATGTCCTCATTAGCATCCAATACATAAAATGCACGACTTCTGCAGAGAAAATGAAACGATAGAAAAAGATCAAACAAGAATACACACACACACACAGAGAGAGATATGCATGTATGTATGTATGTATGTATGTATGTATGTATGTATGTATGTATGTATGTATGTATGTATGTATGAATGTATGTATGTATGTATGTATGTATGTATGTATGTATGTATGTATGTATGTATGTATGTATGTATGTATGTATGTAAACATTTCCCATTGACTTGGACCTTGCTACATCAAGCTCTCTGTGCATCTCATCAACCTCAGCCTTCATGGCAGAAAGTTTCTTATTCTCAGAGTGCAGTTTATTAAGATCCTTTGTTAAACTTTGAACTTGGGTAGATAACTCATTTTGCAAAGCAGTTAATTTTTGGAGTTCATTTCTGAGAGACCCAACTTCTGCCCGCAGAGGTTCAGAAGAGTGAAGCTCTGTTTCTAGCTTCAATTCTCTGTCAATATACTCCCTTGCCTCAGCCTCATTGTCAGCATGCAGTTTTGAAATGGACTGGCTAAATCTTATAATCTTATCTTTCGTGGCAGTTAATTCCCTTTCAAGCATCACATTCTCATCAAGTATGTATCTATTCTCGGCAAGAATTCTCTCCATATCTCTGCGCTGAATTTCAAGTTCCTCTTCGAGGGCAGCAGGATGAGGAGGGAGGGGGCGCAGTCCTCTTTGCATAACAGGCTGTAGTGGTGTTGGACCATCACGGTATCCTCTAAAATTATCAGGTTGGCGTGGTGGCAGACGGCTTCGGCCAGACATGACTGCAATCCTGGAATGTGTCTATGAGTAAACGAACAAATTTTCTGATAGGTAATCATGTCCATGTTAAAAGATAAATAAGGTCTATATTTCATGCAAATGGAGTTCAAATAGAATGGCCAGAAATTTGAATAATGAATACTCCCTCCACCCCAAATTAATCGTCCTAGTTTGTAAGAAAAGTGTTGAAAGTAAAAAATGGGCAGTTGAATTTTTCGACTTTGTGGGCCAAAAACACTTAATTCTTCTAAAGTTTCACAAGTATTAAGTTCAACGATATTAGAAATGTTATCTTTGAGACCGTGAGATCACATTTAAGCAAAAGTTGCTCAAAATCTCGGGTGAATTCTTCTACCGACTTACTTCCTAGCTTTAAACTATGAAGTTTTGCATGGTTGCAAGTAGTATGCGGGAAGAAACTTCTCCTTCATGAGACGCCTCATTCTTTGCCATGATCTTATCGGCCCTTTTCCACCACGTGGAAGGATACTTTCTGAACTTAAGGGCCACAATCTTCACCTTTTTTTGGTTCGGCACTTCTTTGAGGTCAAAAGGTTAGTGTGGTGAAAATGAAGATGCTTCGATGGATGAGCGGTTATACGCATATGGATAGAATAAAGAATGAAGATATGAGAGCTAAAGTTGGGGTGACACCTATTGTAGAAAAGATGGAGGAAACTCGTCTTAAGTGTTTTGGACATGTGGAGAGAAGACCAATAGAGCATCCGGAAGGGGTTGATCAAATAGTGAATAGACATGCGGCTAGAGGAAGAGGTAGACCTAAGAAGAGTTGGCACGAAGTGGTCAAGGGGCGCCTTCGCGTGAATGATCTCACCACAGATATGATACACGATAGGGCCTAATGGTGTCGTTTGATCCATGTAGCCTAACCCACCTAATGGTATAAGGTTTTGTTGTTGTTGCGGCTTCTTTGAAGTCGAAGAAACATTCCACCGTTTCCAACCATTCAAGGAATTCGCCGAATTTTCCTTTCAATGTAGAAATATCAACTTTGAAATCAGCAACGAAGGTGTTCAAACTTTTTTTGCGAGTGTAGTTGTTAATGGATTCTGCATCTCAAACCTTTCAGGTTCTTCATCCCGATCACTCTCAGAGTCATTCGAGTTCATCATTTTACCCTTTTTGTACATGGACAGTCCAAAGAACTTGTCATCAGAGGGCCTTGTGGTCACATTTCGGCTGGTCCAAAGCGGCAATAAGACCTTCTTGAGCCATCTGTAACAAAATTCTTAAATCTATGGCAGATTTTTTTTGGAAAGAGAGATTCACGGAAATGGAAGTGAAGAGAAGAGTGTAGGGTCCAATAGAGATGTAAAACACTCGGCTCTGATACCAAAGGTTATATACTATGGAGTACGTATTTTCCTAGGGCTTAAAGAAATATATAAGTTGAAGGAAATCAGGATTATGTAAAATGAAGGAATATGAAATTGAGAGAAATAACCAGAGGAATAACTCTAAGTTAACTTAAGAGCAAACACACTTTTGAATTACCCCAGGGCTTTTATGTATTTTAGACTTCAATAATCTCAACTGAAGAATAAAAATAGACTCCTAATTCACACTCTTAGTTGCCAAACTAATGAGATAATTTAGGAAAAGAATAAAATTGCGTCTCACAAATTTAGAAATTCTAGACAAGGTAAAACTCAATGTTTTCAAGATAATGTTGTGTTTCATTCTCAAGATTGCATACATATTTATACTAGTACAAGGCCAATCATTAACACTATGTTTGGCTCAAGGATTTTGGAAGGAAAAGAAAAGAAAATGATTTTCTCTCATTTTCCTCACCAAAATGGAAGGAATTTGATTTTCCATCCACTTGGTACATTTTGCCTCCTCATTTTCTTTTTCTTCCACTTTTCCTTTCTTTTCCCCTCTAACCAAACAAGAAAAATGGTTTTCCACTTCATTTTGTTTTCTTTTCCCTTTCAAATTCCTTGAACCAAACATAGTGTAAATGATTGTTCAGTGTGAAAACAATGAAAATACTTACCTAATTTCCTGTTGAAATTTTGGCCAGCACACTAGGAAATACAGCAAAGTTATTAGAATTCAAACAAATATAATAATAAAGACAAATTACTATTCACTCAAGACTTTAATGATGAACTCCTTTCTCAGTTTTCACTGTTGCAATGTTGCAATTTCTGTTAGATTTCTTCAATCAAGAAAGGGCTCCCATTAGTCCAAAAGTGTAGAACATCAATCCCAAATATATCAAAACACAAGTTGCACACATAACACTATTCATGAACAGTGTTATGATTTGTTACTATTCTCCTTTAGCATATTTTCAGTCACATGAACATTTGAAGCCATGATACTGATCACAAGTCTCAGCCAAGGGTATTATGAAGAGATAGATTTATTTTACTTATTATCTAGGTAGACAATAATAAATAAAAGGGCAGGATCCTTAGTTTTATTTTGGCAAATAAGGGAATTTAAATCAAAAGTGTAAGAATGGAAATTTTGGGCATTTTAGGTTCTGGAGATCCAACCCAAAATGTATCATAACACTCTGGAAATAAGGCCCTTATTCACTAACCACTCTCGGGACTAAGAAGGCTATCCTTATATATATATATCACCTACCCGGCCCATTGACCTAGCCGGGCAGTACTGCCAAACCAATGATGCTTGAGTACCAAAGTGTTTAAAATAGCCAAGTTATTCAAACTCTCTATCAATTCGAAAGGTGGGCTCAAACTTAGAGTCTGATTACTATTTTTTGTGTCATATGGTTATGATTGAGTGGTGTTATCTAAAACATACCTCAAACAGGATGGGCTGCGCTGGAGCACATAAGGTATGTTAACTTGGGCTAGTCCACCCCATAAACCTAAGTTAGAGAACCCCTAAGTGCCAAAAGGAAGTTGTCCAAGACTCCAAGGCAAAAAACATGGTAGCACTTTGATGTTGAGCTATTTTCCAAGAGCAATGACTGACATAGTTCATGATCTAGCCTGCAAACTCTGGTGTTTGAGACTTGACTGTGCCTCAACCAAATAATGTCCCTATAGTAAGTTCATGACCTACTCTGACCTTGAACGCTTTATGTCAAGGACTGCATAAACTTTTTCTGAGTTTGGATTGATTCCCCATAGCATGAACTTATCAAGTTTTAAAAGTAGAAACAATCCATCTGACAAGCATTGTTGATGATCGTGTAATTCACGCACACTCTCATGTGTTTTGGGAGCCAAAACAACACTAGCCAGCTACCCCAGATATTGGAGAAGCTTGATATCTTTAATTCTAGGAAGAACTTTCACCTATTTTTTCCATTGCAATAAAAGATTATGCTTTGGAGGAGAAAATGTTTTCTTCCAACTTTGACCTTACCTAATCTCACTTAGATCCAGCCTATCCAAACTAGTCCTCAGCTAAGCACAGGTGCCTACACTAAAAGTCTGTCCCTAGCATTGTTTAATAGCCTTGGAAAGATAGCTCCTCTCTAAATCACTGATAACCATAACATCAAACCCCTTTGGTTTCATGGTGTGAAGAACATCATGTGGAGGTGATCCATTGACACTACCCAAGTTGTTAACATACATGGTAGCTACTCGGTCATATGCCAAATAGTGAGTACGACAAATATCTGCAGAGGATATGGTCAGTACACAGTCCCACTTCAATAAACTTCAATAAAAGAAACTATAAACTAACTAGACCATACCAGACATACCTAGTAAACCCACTCAGAAATAGAGTGTGGGCAGCATGAAATGTACATAGACCTTACCTAGGCAGGAAGATTTAATGTGCACGAAATGTGCATGTACTAAAACTTGGTAACCAATCCATAATAAATTCCCTTTTGGAGTACCATACCATACCCCTAAAGGAATTCGAATCCCCCCGAGGCAGGTAGATGAGGGTAAATCAAAAGGTCAAAACTACTGCAAAAACATATCCAAACTTCAAATTCATTGGAATCTAGGATATGAGTTCTAAAATAAATACTATGGTAAGTGTTTCCTCATATGATTATATGAATGCTAAAAAATTTGGTTGCTCTGTCTTCTCCCCCCTCCCCCCCAGAGAGTTAGAACCTAACCTTGTGCTCATGCATATCAAGTACATGTCGTACATGTGCAAATCAATGTGCACATGTACATTTACTTTTAACATGGCATACATGTGCATGAAGATGTAGACACGTGCATGTACAAGTATGACACATACATGCAAAAATATATATGTGCATGCATGAAATATACATGTGCATGAATGACATGAAATGTACAAGTAGATGAAATATACACATACAAGTATGGAATGTCTAGAGCAGCTTACAAAAAAAGGTTGTTACAATGTTTCATAAAAATATTGAAAAACAAGCTTATTTCAAAGCATCTTTTTTGGGACCAAACCACTTTCTAAAGTGCTATTTAAAAAAAAACATATGTTTGACCATAACATCTCATTTTCCTTAAAACAAAGCTCTTTTCAATAACAAAAAACTGTAATAATGTGTCCCGGGCTTTAGGTGAGGAATGTTCAAAAAGGGGCATTGTGTATATGAGGCGTTTTCCCATCAAGGTATAAGGCGTAAGCCTCAAGGCGTAGTGAGGCATAAGCCTCATTTTTAAATTTCCGAAATGTCCATAATACATTATTAAGACTGAAGGGAGAACACTATTAATAAGATAATTAATCCATGAACATTGATGAAGCATATTGTCATATTATAAAGTCTAAAACGCAACAAAGTCAAGCATGAGATAATACAAATTATTACCTGAAGGCGATGAACGTAGATTGAGAAATGCAAGAACAAAAAAACAAAAAAGACAGATAAACTAATCGCTCATGTGATATTTTTGTTACAAAAATTACACAACACATTTTGGTTATTCAATTTCTGTCCTCTCTGAGTTTTGGGTGTTGAATCTATCCCATATTTCAATGCTGGATTCGAGATTTAAACACTTAATAAAAAAACCTATAAAATAATAATACTAAGAATTTACAAATAATTTCTAAGCATGTTACTAATAAAACACCTCAATTGCAGATATATTAAAAAATTGAAGCGTCAAATATCAAACCATCAATTTCAATATAAACCAAACCTTCTTATAAAAAAAATAGATGACAACATGTATGCAGCAGTAGCACAATTGCATACTAATTCCACCTGCGAAACACAAATAGAATCGAATACACTAAAGCTTGAAGAAACTTACCGGCGATGGAGGAGACGGATTAGGGTACCCGGAGCCGGAGTCGCCCGACAAGAAGATGACGACTACACGAGGAAAGTAGGGTTCCAACTTCAAAGGCACATTTTACTTTCGAGAGTGAATTGACTAATTTAATCTTTACTTTAGAAAACGATTGCTCGTGTTCATGAAATACCTTTGAATATAGGGAGTACTAATCTCTAACTGGTAGGCTGTGCATCGGTCTAAGTTAGGACCGACCCGGACCCGACCGGGACCGCTAGTGGACCGTAGACCGGACCAACAAAGTGTAAGACTGGACTAGGACCCAATGTTCGAAAAGGCGTATTGCGGTTTTGAGGCGTTTTCATTTCATGGCGTAAGGCGTAAGCCTTGAGGCGTTTTGAGGCGTAAGCCTCAATTTTTAAATTGAAAAACATTCACAAAACAATTTAAAACAAAAAAACAATAACATAAATAATCCAATAACATGAAAAAAGCATATTGTCAAAGTAATACATCGCAAACATAACAAAGTCTAACATGGAATAAGACATAAGAGTGCTCGAAGTGATGAGCTTAAATTGAAGAATTGAAAAAAAGATCATCAGTGTCCAACGGCTTGAAATTAGGATCAAAAGATGTTGCATTTCCTTCATTCTCTTCTTCAGAATTGATGAAAAAATCTTCTCTAATAGGATCTCGAAGCATAATATCATCTTCTTCATCTTCTTCAACTTCATCAATAAGTTGTATTGCTTTTCTTTTCCCAAGGCGTTGCCTTTTTGAAGGATGTCCTTCATTTCTTCCTTGGCCACTTGGGTTGGTGATTGTTTCACTAGCAGTATCACCTTGAGTATGAACTTCAGGACCATCACCATGAACATCATCACTCTCGACAATCATATCAGCTTCATGAACAACCCACTCATCATCTGAAGGAATTTCATCCATCACCAACGGATCTTCCTCAACTTTCAATGATGCTTTCTTCATCCATTTACTTTTCAATCTTTTGTTGTACATCACGTAAACCATTTTATTCAAATTCTTGGTATGCAAGCGATTTCTCTTCTTCGTATGAATCTACAAATTAAATATGTGTAAGTCGATGGATCACAAAACAAAATGTAGATATGTGGATATGTATACCTGATTAAATGTGCTCCAATTTCTTTCACACGCAGATGACGAACATGTAAGACTTAAGATTCTGATCGCACATGCCAATAGTTCAGGAGTCTCATCTCCATATTGGGTCCACCAATCAACTATATTATTTATAAAAAATAGGTGCATTAATTAACAATATATATATATATATATATATTATTTAAATTCGGTAATGATATTTGGTAAGAGCAATTTACTTACCAGGACTCCGTTTATGCACAGTGTTTTGTGCAACGTCATGTCCAAAGAATCCCCGCTTCAGTCGAAAGTCATCCATTTGCAAATGAAGTTTTTCTAGGATCTTTGGATCTGGAAATAGCTTAGCCATACATCTAAATAATCCTGCTTTCACCTCTGGACGTGTAGACATTTTCGGATCATACTGAAAGCGAGGATTGAGGTAATACGCTGCAGCGTGCAAATCCCGATGCAATTGTAATTCCCACCTCTTATCAATTATTTTCCAAATCTCATTATAAGAGCCAAAGTCCCACCCTAAATTCTCAGAAATTTCTTCCTTTGCTCGATCCATACAACCATATAGAAACCCCACACCGGGTACCATCTCTGAATCTGCCATTCTCAACACTTTAAACAATGGCTTTGTTGTTTGGACTGAATATTGCACGCTTGGCCAGAAATATTTATCACGCAGAATTATTTGTTTCATAGCTTTTGCCTCTTGTGTTTTGGATAAATGGTGTGCATTCCATTCCTTTGAAACACACATTTCCTCCAACAGCTCTTTAACGCCTAGCATACTTTCAAGTGTAAGATAGGCCGTACCAAACCTTGTAGCCGTAGGACGAACAAGATCTCGTTTTGTAAACTCTCGCATCAATGCCAATGACCATCCGTGATTATATATGTAATGAGTCACCTACCATAATTTATAAATTTAATATAAGATAATGATAAGGTAATTGAATGTTTGGTTTGAAAAACATTTTAGATTGAAAAAATGAAATACATTACCTTCTTTGCTTTCACCAATGCATTCTTGTGTTGAGGAAGCTTCCCAATATCCTCTAGCATCAAATCAATACAGTGTGCCGCAAATGGTGTCCACCACAGTCGCTTTCGTTTTTCAAATAACTTCTCACCGGCAGCCTTGTAGTTCGAAGCATTATCGATAACAATCTGAGTCACAATGTCTTCACCTACCTCTTCTACAACCTCATCAAATAGATTGCACAACATATCCGCATCTTTTACATGACGAGAAGCATCAATCGTTTTTAAGAAAACAGTGCCATAAAGATTGTTAACAAGAAAATTTATTAACTGTCTTCCTCGCATATCTTTCCACCCATCAGAAAGTATGGACACCCCAGTTTGTGTCCACGTCTTTTTCACGTCATCAACAATTTTTTGAGTTGTTTTTACCTCTTCATCCAAGATGTAGCACCCCACCCTGGGCGACCCGAGTCATCCAGACCAGAGTGCTAGTAAAACCCGGTTGCTTAATAAAACATTTATTTTTTGTTTAAAATAAATTCTCATTCCGATACTAAAGAGTTTAAAGATTTTTTTTCGAGTAAGTAAAAAGAGTAATTAACATTTTTAAGTAAGTACAACTTGGGTTCAAACCCATAACCAAAATATGTTCAATAATTTATTCAATTATTTATTTAAAACAGAATTTCCTTTCTAAGCACGGCCTCCACGTTCAAGCTTTCCTCCTCAGCAGTCGTTCCCCTTACTAGTACCTGCGTGCAGTTAAACACTACACGCTCAGCATAAGCTGAGTGGCAAATAACCAATAGACATATATAACATGCAAATATATGTTAGAGCATTTTAAGTTCTTTAATATAATTCCAATGTTTTTCACATATTTAAAATCCTGGAGAAAATAATCTCACTTTAGTAATTACTTGGGGATATTTAGAAAATATTAGACTTTTCTCCTTCTAGGTTAACCTTGTATTAGAGATTAAGACGTGACTAGGCTGGAACACCGCACTAGTCGATTCGTAGTTTTACTTCGGATACCTCCCCGTGACCTCGGGTCCAGTAATCAGAAGTGAACCCTAGACCCACGGGGTCATTGTTGGGTTCTCGTGCGCACGTTGTGGTATGATTATTTGTAGGCTCATCCACTTGGACACATACGATCCGGCCTTATAACATGTGGTTTGACCCACTTTAATTGATAAAACGTGACAATATCTGGTCAGGGTACGTCATTAAAAGAAACTTTAAAATTTTACTTCGTCCACTTGCCGTTTGGTTAACCATAGTATGATCATTCAAATAAATCCTTTTGACGATTTCAAACAAAAATCACTTCAAAATAACATATTGATTGACGACCCCTATATACTCCAAATATCCATTTGTTACATAGAACCACAAGGTATCACTTGAATATTTAAGGTTCGTTTGTATATACTTGAATGTACATATTTGTAAATATGTAATTAAAGATGCAGGTATTTGACATCCAAATAGTTCATAGCATAACTATTTACTTGGCTCAACTTATTATACATATATACTTAAAATATTTTTTTTTATCTATGCCCTTGTACATAATATATTTTAAAATTTGGATTTTTTTTATTCCACTTATAATTTTGAAAGACAAACCAATTATCTACATATACATAAATATATATATTAACATTTAATTATTTAATTCAGTGGCCAAATGGAATTAGGTATATTATACATAAGTACAAATAGAGTAAGTATATGCACCATATGTATACGTACGCATCTAACCCCAAGAAAAAACGAATGGCCAACAACTTTTTTTTTCCATGCGTAAAACTTAATTTTATCTACAAACAATCCAACAACTCATTAATCATGTACTTGGGGTTTCGGCCCCTATAAGATGGTTTTTATTCAAAACAAATATTTTTTTTAACATTAAGGTCAAATAAATATAATGGAATTAAATAAAACATCTAATACGGAGTATAAAACCAATAAAAGTTCATATTTCCTCTGGTCGAGTACTATTATATACTACAATAATTTTAATGGTGCTATTATTTTTTCGTTATATTCTTTTTTTTCCATACTTATTAAAACAAACCTTTAAACTTAGATTATGTATAAATGCAATCACGTTTGAAACAAAATTATTTAGAAATTTTATCTTCTAGGATAGAGATTTGTGAGTGGGGCGTTCGATCTCTCTTTTTTTTTATTATTTAAATAAAGCTCGAATCAATCCTTTGCGTAAATAACATGATAAAAAAATGCACTAAAATAGATGAACATGAAATATATGGCTAAAGGTTATTAGGGTCAATTCAAACAAAACGACAACTTGACGGTGTGGACGAGATTATTCCGTGACTGCATCTCCCATGCCACTCTATCTCTCCCATGGCAATGCCACTAAACCACTCTTACATACTCACACACCTCTAAACCAATCTTTATTATGTATTATTTCTTTCAAGTGATCATGGCATGGATGGATGGGTCACTCTTCCTATGAGTCCCTATTTATAGGAAAGAAAAGAAGATTCTAGAAAGTGGAGGGAAGAGGAAAATGGATGGTTTTTATTTTTTTAAAAAAATATATATATATTTTTTTTATTTAATTAAAAATTAACTAAATGCTCATTATTAGCCCTTAATGCTGTTAAATGAATGGGAAAGAGGTTACAAGTTTAGGCGTGAGAATTAAGGGAGAAAACAAAGGTTTTCGTGTTCCGTTGGTTTAGTAGCATGTGTCCGATTTCCACAGTTCCAATTATTAAATATTCCCAGAAAAATATAAAACTTATACCGTTAAGTACCATATTTTTCACACATCATTTTGACATAATCTGTTTGTCAAGAAAATAGGTTCATTTGAACAAATTAAACTATATTATTTAGATAGTAGAGAACCAAAACTAATTTTATTCCCTTTCACTTTATTATTTTTTCATCTCCACTAAAAAAATGATCATTTAGAATTAAATTCCAATTTTATTATCTTTAAATAAATAAAAAGTAACATTTTTTTTAAAAAATCATTTCTTTGTACTAGAAAGTTAAAATTTCTAAACCGGTTTTCAGGGCGTTACATTTCTCACCTCCTTAAGAGAAATTTCGTCCTCGAAATTTACCTGAAAAAAAATCTTCCAAAACTATGAGAGGATAGCGCCCTCGCATTGACTCTTTTGTCTCTCGCATATATGGATTCTTCTATGTCGTGACTTCACCTAGTGGCAGTTCTTGATTTTCATGTTTTAATATCCAAATTTCTGTTGGCTCCTCATATCAGGGGTTCTTATCTAGTTCTTTCGTTATACCATACGGAGTAGTATTTTTTCTAAAGTGTTCCAAAAAGCAAAATTTATTTTGATACATCGCATACTTTCTTCTTTTCACCTCGTGATGAAGTAAATTAATGGTTGTCAAAAATCTAAACTCCATTTGCCCAAAAATTTACTAAAATATAATTATCAAAGTGAGGTTGAAATTTGAAGCATTTGGCTTAACTTTATTGAAATATCCTACACGTTAGTTATAATTATTACTATTAGATTATATATTAAATTCATTTTATTTAATCTTTACTAGCTGTTTCATTGTTTGTTTTACTCTAAACGTTTTCTACAAGGTTATTGTTTGATAAACAATAATATGTTGTTAGAATTTCCTTGACAACATCTTTAATATTTTATGAGACTTTTTTTTAGATGAAGCAAAAACCAATATTTAATACATGCATACATACTCTTCTCTATTTTCATCCAATAACAACCTTATGAAAACCCCCTATTCATTTATTTTTTTTTCCAAGTATAATGCAACAACACAATTTTTTTTTTACCTAAATATTTCTTTTAAACAACTATATGATATAGTGTTTAAACTTTTCTTTAATTTGGAAAATAAGAGCCCTTATAAATAAATCTCTAAGTCACAATAAACTACGGAGTAGAATAATTTATTAGAGTCTCGTATTTTCCTCTTGTCATAATTATTTATTACTATTTTTTTTGAATATATATATATATATATATATATATATATATTCTTGTCATCAACAAATCATATACGTGTAACTCATGTCATGCCTTTTTAACCAAAGAGTTGCCACTTAAAAAAAACTTTTAACATTTTTTCACTAACCCTCACGAATCAACATTAGTGTTTGGTCGAGAATATAAATTTCAATTAGTTATTTTTTTTTGGATTGTTATCGGTAAAACTTTGGAATTTATTTGTACGTTTACATATAACATTCACAATATGTAAGCAACATAAGTTACAAAGGCTCGTCCATTAACTAAACTACAAACTAGCTTCATTCCTTAGCTTGATACTCACAAACATTATTATGATTATTTTTCATTGTTGGTGAGAAATCCAAAAAAAACTCTCATCATAGCATTCAATTTGTAATTAGTATGATTAATCCATAAAATTTAATATCAAACTTTGTAATAACAGATGCACTGTCCTCAAGAACCTCTTCTAGGCGTGTGTTAATATATTCTTCAATTAACTTACCAACTCCGTTTGAAGCTATTCAATTCGTTGACTTTAACCACGTATAATCAAGTTGAGTACAATGATTCTTGCGAAGTTTATATCTTGACAAATTCATTCTAAACAAACAAGCTCCTTATGAATGGTACATATTCAAAATAAGTTTTAATGTACAATTTATTGTAATTAACTTCTCTTTCATTAGAGTATATTTTTAATGGCAAAATGTATAATTTTCTTGAGAATACAAATTATACTTAATCCCATAACTTATAACCGATATTCGGCTACAATAACTTCTGACCAATGACCCTTGCCGACTTGCCGTTCTCTCTTTTTTTTTTAGGACCCACTCCAAAGTTTGATTTTTTTTTAAATTAACATACAATCTACATTTATGATATCCATGAAAAATGTAACACATATTTTTTTTCCTCCTTCTTTTTATGATTTTATTGAAATATTTTGTTTTGATCTTTTGTTTCCACTTACCCTTATTCAATTAATTGTAATAGGCTTGTTTGTTCTTGTTGGTTTGTTCTTGTTGTATTTTTTTCTCTTTTTCTCATCTCTTTTTTTGAGCTAACTACTACCTACTTA